ACACTCCACTCCTTTCTCTGGCTCTTACATTATTTTCACCACCTCTTCTAGAATGTTCCCTCAGCTTTGGAGAAGGTGATGCAGATGCCTAGTTATTTTCTTCCACTTGTGGCTAAGCATTGAGCCACTATGCTATGACAATAGTCATTTTATTCTCAATAGCTTGACCAGTTATACGTATCCACAGTAACCTTCGCCCACTGCAAAGAAGTTATTGTGACCAAACAAGGCATAAGCATAATTGTTTAGAAGACAATTTCACACATCATCTCCATGTAACTACAGTATCTTCCCTACTAGGGCCTATGACCTCCCCAGCTACAGATTTCTGCCTTACAGTACCAAACTTGGGTCTCCTTCTGTGGAGCAGGTTTCAAATCTAATTGGAAAGCATTTGGTTGTATCCATAACGATTTTGCCACTATTGTACCAGATACATGTCTTGGCATGCTGATGTTACCATGCTGAATCCACAGCTGAGCAGAACCCTGGCACCAAATGCTGCATTATTTTTCCTGGGGAGATGTGAAGAAATGTCTAGATAGACACCCAACAAGAAATCAAACAAATAGTTCCATTTGAGTCTAGCTTGGTGAAACAAGGAGTTTACTGGACTTGCTTACAGGAGCATGGCTGATCAGAACAGCAGCATTACAGAAAGGTCCCCCCCCAACATATTTCTATCCTTAAATCTATTCATATACTATATTACAATTTTTTTGTTTGTTTTTGTTTTTTTCTTTTTGAGACAAAGTCTCACTATATAGACCAGGATGGCCTTGAGATCACAAAGATTCACCTGCCTCTGCCTCCTTTCAAATGCTGGGATTAAAGGCATGTACCACCATACTCAGCTTATATTACAGTTTAAAAAGTTTTTTATTTTCTGGGTATAGTGGTACACACCTTTAGTTTCAGCACTCAGGAGGCTGAGGCAGGTGGATCTCTGTGAGTTCAAAGCCATCCTGGTCTACACAGCAAGTTCCAAGCCAGCTAGGGCTACAGGGAGACCCTGTCTCAAAAACAAACAGAAAACCCCACCAGCTTTTTAAAATTTATGTATTTATATGTATGCATGTTTTCCCTGCATGTATGTGAGTGTACCACATGTGTGCCTAGTGCCCTCAGAGGCCAGAAGAGGGCATCAAATTCCAGGAAACAGAGTTAAGGATGGGTGTTAGCTGCCATGTGGTTGCTGAGAATTGAATCTGTGTCTTCTGCAAGAGCAGCCAGTGCTCTTAACTGCTGAGCCATTTCTCCATCCGCACCCAAAAGTTTTCTTTTAACATATATTAATTGTACATAATAATGGGTTTTATTGTATTTTTATGCATGTACATAATGTTTATTGTATGGGAGGGGTGTTTGAGACAGAGTCTCCCTGTAGCCCGTCTCCCTGTAGCCCCAGCTGGCCTGGAACTAGCTATGTAGACCAGGCTGGCCTTGATCTCACAGATCCACCTGCCTCTGCCTCCACACCTGGCTTATAATGTATTTTGATAATATATCCCCCTCATTACCCTCTCTTCCCCCTCCCACTCCTGTTGATCCCCTTCCTCTTCCCAACTTTCAAGCCTCTTCCTCCCTCTCCTCCTCTCACTCTTCTCCTCCTACCCCCCCTTCTTTATGACCCAATGAGTTTCGTTAGGATTGTTTACACAACATGGATGAGAAGTTATTCACAGAGGCTCACTTTCTACTGGCTAGCATTTATAGGGCTAGAAAACACCATGCATACTGCTAGGGGGTAATTGTTGCCAACAGTCTTGCTCAGATATAAACCCCCTCCACCCCATATGTTAATGCCATCAGCATGCCAGACAAGATATACCCACTGGTATAATAGTGACATGACTGTTGTGGGTACAGTCAACTACCTTCTGATTGGATTTAAGGCCCGCTCCACAGGACGGAACTCATGTTTGGTACTTACACTAGGACAAAAACATATGACTGGAGATATCTTAGGTCCTAATGGGAGAAGTTACTATTGTTCCTTTGTGAAATGAGGATGACATGTTTGTCAAATTGCCTTCTAAACTTTGGTGCTTATGTATGCAGACTGTTGCTGCTGTCTTTTTTGATCGGGGACACTTCTTTTCACGGTGGAAAGTAAGGCAGTTCCTGAAAACTCAACCAGTTAAACTGCTGAGAACAGGTGACTCTTGATGTGGCATAATGGCTCAATACTCAGCCACATCTCTGTCACCCTTCCAAGTGTCAGAGAACATCATGGAAGGGGGTTAGAAAGAATGTAAGAACCAGAGGAAGAAGTGAAGTGTTGTTATTTCCTCTGAGGTGGACGTATTCATTGCCATTTTGAACCTGACTAGCTTACACAATCCCCTCACAGGATCAGGCCCACTAATGTTCCCTCATGGAAGGAAGGAGCGGACTCCTCATCCTCACAGGGCCTCTCCCTGGAAATATACAAGCAGTTAACAACTACTAGGAGGAAGAGAGACTCTTCTTCAGTGGTGCAACTGCCCCTAAGCAGCCAAGTGCTTGGAAATGACCCCAGTGATCCCATTGGCTCACTAAGCTAGACTTGGGTGAAACTATTTCTTTTGGTCTGTCATTGTCTTCTTGTTTGGGGGAAATAGGAATAGACTCCCCAGGAAAAGTCATGCAATAACTGGTAATCTCATAATTCAAGAGGCAGAAACAGAATCCCAGGCTCCAAGCCAGCCTTGGTTCCAAAGTAAGATCCTGCAAAAAAGAAAAGAAAAATGTCAACATCCATTACAGAGTTTTTTTTGTTTGTTTGTTTGTTTGTTTGTTTGTTTTGGTGTTTTTGAGACAGGGTCTCCGTGTAGCCACAGCTTACCTGGAACTTGCTATGGAGACCAGGCTAGCCTCAATCTCCCAGCAATCCACCTGCCTCTGCCTCCCAAGGGCTGATATTAAAGGTACATGCAACATGCCTGGTGTCCATTATAGATTTTTTTAAAAAGCAAAAACAAACAAGAACTAGTGTTAACTGCTGAGCCATCTCTCCAGCCCCATAAATAAATAAAATTTTAAATAGATAAATTTTAAAATGTTTAAAATGGTGGTGCAAGCCTGTAATCCTAGATACTTGGGAGTCTGAGGCAGAAGAATCAGGAATTCAAGGCTGTCCTTAGGTACATAATGAGTACAAGACCAGTCTGGGAAAATTACTAAGATTCTTACTCAAAATAGAAACTAAAAAGGCTGCTGAGGGGGGCTGGAGAGATGGCTCAGCGGTTAAGAACACTGGTTATTCTTGCAGAAGACACGGGTTCGAATCCCAGCACCCACATGGCAACTAACAATTGTTTATAACTCCAGTCCCAGGGGATCCAACAGCCTCTTCTAACCTCCACGGGTATTGCAGGACACGGGTGCACTTACCTACATGCAGGCAATACACGCATACACATAAAATAAATAAAAGTTTTTTAAAAGTCTGGGACTAGAGAGATGGCTCAGCAGTTAAGAGCACTGACTGCTCTTGCAGAGGACCCGGGTTCAATTCCCAGCACCCACATGGTGGCTACGAACCGTCCTTAACTCCAGTTTCAGGAAAATCCGAAGTCCTCTTCTGACCTCCGCAGCAACATGCAGGCAATACACTCATACATTCATATAAAAATAAATAAATAAATAAATAATAAACAAAACTTTAAAAGCCTGCTGAGGATATGCATCAGTGGTTCAAGGCTTGCCTGATTTCAATGCTCAGGACCACAGTCTGAAGGTGCATCAATCTGATACTTACAGCTGAGGAACGGCAGTAAGAAAATGTTATATGTCCATAATTAAATTGTTATGTTTCTGTAAGAGCAGAAAATGTCATGTGTACAGTAAAAACATTGCAATTCATAACAGACACTACTCTACAATCTGAGCCGAGGCGTCTCAGGCAGTGTTTGTTGGTGTTATACAGTGTGACATGTGCAGTGACAACCACTACATGTTGTGTGTTCAGACTGCAATGACGTGCAATGTGACCAGAAAAACCTTGAATTCATTACACATTTGCTTTTGAATTAGTTTTTGGTCACTGGGAGTTCAGGAACCTTTTACTGTGGCCAAAGTTTTCAAGGTCCACAGTTTAAGAAGCTAGGGTCTAATATACATGAGGCCCTGGATTTGAACCCCTGCGTCGCAAAACAAAGGAACTCTCCTTAGTCTTAGTTTTCTACAGATGAACTTACAGCAAACATGGTATTTAATAGAACACTAAAATGCTTCCTCTGAATCCCCACAATGAGTGCTGGAACTAAAGGCATGTGCTACAATGCCCAGCTCCTAGTAAATACTTAACTACACTAAGTAAAAGTAAAATTGAGACCACAAAGGGGCCAGAAGCAGGTATTACAGTTATCTAGTGAAACATCTGTTAACCATTGAATGCAAGCATTGCATTGATGCAAGCAGTAAATTGCACAGCTTGCTGCAGCATCTGCTTCTGTAAACACAATGACTGCTTGACCACAAAAGGATTTCTTATAATGGCTTACATACACATAGATATTTGTGCTGAAAGTCACATAGACTATAGTCTAAATGCACCAGTGCCATAACTGTTAAGAAATGACATAAGGTCAGGCATGGTAGTGCACGCCTTTAGTCCCAGCACTTGGAGGCAGAGGCAGGTGGATCTCTGTGTGATCGGGGCCAGTCTGGTCTCCATAGTGAGTTCCAGGCCATCGGGGGCTATAGGGAGATCCTGTCTCAAAAAGACCAAAAAAAAAAAAAAAAAAAAAAAAAAAAAAAAAAAGATGTGAAAACCAGTATGGGTTTCTGTAATTGAGGCCCAGAACCTCAGAGCGTTAGCTTGTCTGGGTCCAAAAGCATAATAAAAAGTAAGTTCTCCAACTCTCCAGGAGAGGGCTTCATTTCTCGCTGCCTGGTTTTCTACAACACTTCTAATCAATATGAGGAGTCAGGCCAACAGGCTGAAGCAAACTGACATACTGCAAATGTTTTAGAGCCTTTCTCATGTTGGGCGGGGAAGAACAGGAATTGACTGCCAGGAAACCGCTAAACGATGATAGGGGGGCTCTCTGGCTTCTCTCATCCCTCATCTCTCCTTCCCAGGATCAGAACCAGAGTGAAAGCAACAGGCAGTCGGATCTCCCATCAGATAATGCTTGGATTGGGGCTGTAGATGTAACTCAGTGGTACAGCATTTGCCCAGCAGATGTACAGCCCTGGGTTTTGGTCACCAGCATTGAAAGTGAGGAGGAGAGGGAGAAGAGGAGGAGGAAGACGGAGGAGGAGGAAGAGGAAGGAAAGTGTTGCGGGTTCTCCTCAGGCCAGCTGTGAAGACCCTGACCTGGATCGGGTCCCCTGCCAATTACGGGGAGCAAGAGGCGTGGAGTCGGGTAGAAGCAAGCACTAGGGGAGGTGCAGGAGGGGGCGGGCGTTACAGTTCCCTTTTCTCCACCCCCAAGTCCCTTTAGTCAGCGTATCGTTGTCTGATTGGTCCACACAGTCTGTCGGCAGTCATTGGGCTCCAGAGCAGGGTACGGAGGCCTGGGCTCCTTTTGGCAGGCTATTTGTGGACCAAGAAGTGAAGTGAATTCTCGCTGAATCCCGGGGCTCTGGGTCAGCACCATCTTTGGAGGCCTCCTGCTACAGGAGAGAAAGAAGAAGGAGGAAGAAGAAACAGTAAATAGAGGAGGAGAAACAGAATGACGTTTGGATTATATTTTAGTACAAGAAAGGACCTTGTCCTGTTTGTTCATTCACAAGAATCGTGCTCTAGAGAGCGTAAACAAGCTCCCAAGAGCCCCCTGTCGCTTAGTTGCCATGCTCCCTCTTGGTCAGAAATAGAGGCTAGTTCATCCCCTGTAAATGGTCCCAAGTGCTAGTGGCTACTCTGCCAGCTCCAAGGATGAAGATTCTGGAGTTAAAAACTGGTCCATGGAGGGGCAAAACACATCAGTACTGCAGCATGGTCAATGACATACCTGTGTCCAGCTGACATCACAGGCAGCACCAGGACCGGGTTGCACTTGAATTGTGACATCAGCAAAACTGGAGCAGTCCTCAAGGAAGGGGGTGCCCCGACAGGGAGACCACGAAACAGCAGCACAGGGAAAGGTAAGTCTCCAAGTGGGGCACAGGGCAATGGATGGGGACTGCTCCAGGACCTGGTGAGGGAGGCTGAGGCCAGTTCCCGGTGCCTGAGTGTCCCAGGTTCATTTTCTTCTTACCCAGGGCATCAAAGTATCTGGCTGTCGCTGACATGCAGAAGATTTCACATAAGTTCTTGCACTTCTGATCTTTCTTCCAAGGTGCCAAGATGACACCCTCCCCATGTCATGATGTCCTTCCTTCTTTACCCTTTTACCCACAACTGGGGCTGAGCCATGGAAATCAGTTCCTACTGTCTGCCCGCAAGGGGGCTGGCTACTGAGACAGCCCTGTACCCCATGGGCTCTTTCCAAGAGGACTGTGCCTCACCCCCAAAGCGAGGCTTTCTCTGTCTCCTCAGGATCAGCCCAGGACCAAGTCCCAACCCCACAGCTCCCTGCCCAGGCCTCCAGATCGGCCCAAGTTCAGCTCCTGATGAGTAGCAACAGCAGCCAACGCATGTTGGAAGACCAAGTCCTCTGTCCCATTTGCCTGGAAGTGTTCTGAGACCCAGTCACCACAGCATGCGGTCATAACTTCTGCATGACTTGCTTCCAAAGTTTCTGGGACCACCAGGCTGCCATAGGCGAGACACACTACTGCCCCCAGTGCAGAGAGAGCTTCCCCACCAGGCCCCTCCTGTGCAAGAATGTCATCCTCGGGGAGATGGTGGCCTGCTTCACCCAGGCCAAGGGCTAGACTTCAGGGCCCTTGTGGAACCTGGCTGGGCCCACGGATGTGCCCTGTGACTTCTGCTCCCCACAGAAGCTCCCATCTGTCAAGTCATGCCTGCAGTGCATGGCTTCCTTGTGTGAGAAACACTTGCGCAGCCACTTTGAAGACCAGCTCTTCCAGGACCATCAGCTGCTGGAGCCTGTGTGGGATCTCAAGTCCCGAACAAGGAGGGCCCTGGGCTCTCAGAGGCTGTCACATTTCCTTGGAGGAAAATTATACAGCTAAATCCAGGCTTTGTGTATCTGCCTATAGTCAAATATAGCCTTAAGAGGCTAAGGCAGGAGAAGCTTGACTTTGAGGAGTCTGGGCAGTACAGACAACATAACAAGACACTCTCTCAAAAAAAAAAAAAATTAGGCAAGCTGGGTGTGGTGGCATAAGCCACAGCACTCGGGAGGCAGAGGCAGGTGGGTCTCTGTGGGTTCAAGGCCAGCCTGGTCTACATAGTGAGTTCCAGGCCAGCTGGGGCTACAGGAGACCCTGTCTCAAAAAGACCAAATTAAAAAAAAAAAATTGGGATTGGTGAGATGGCTCAGAGGGTATATGTGCTTGCCACCCGGATGACCTAAGTTCTATCCTGAGAACCCACATAAAGGTAGGAGAAAACACATTCCCCAAAACTGTTCTCTGACCTTAAGTGAACCACGACATGCACATATGCCCACATAATAATAAAGTTTTGGGGGATTTTTGGTCTTTTTGAGACAGGGTCTCCCTGTAGCCCCAGCTGTCCTGGAACTCACTATGTAGACCAGGCTGGCCTTGAACTCACAGAGATCTGCCTGCCTCTGCCTCCCATGTGCTGGGATTAAAGGCATGCACCACCACGCCTGGCTTATAATAAATTTTTTAAAAGTTTTTTTAAAATATTTTATTTTATGTGTATGAGTGTATTGCCTGCATGTATGTGAGTGCACCCATGTCGTGCAATGCCACGGAGGTCAGAAGAGTGCTTCGGATTCCCCTGGAACTGAAGTTAAGGATGGTTCGTAGTCGCCATGTGGGTGCTGGGAATCGAACCTGGATCCTCTGCAAGAGCAGTCAGTGCTCTTAACCACTGAGCCATCTCTCCAGCCTCCATAATAATAAATTTTAAAGATTTGTTTTTTACTAAGTTTATTTTACTTTTCATTATACATGGCGGGGGGAGTATGTGCATTTGTGTGCAGTTTCCTTGGAGGCCAGAAGAGGGAGTTGGATCTCGTGGAGCTGGAGTTACAGTGGTTGTGAGCCACCATGTGGGTGCTGGGAACTGAACTCTGGCCCTCTGTAAGAACAGCAGAAACTTTTAACCACTGAGCCATCTCTCCAGCCCCCTAATTTTTTTTTTATGTGTGTGTGTGTGTGTGTGCCACATAAGTGTAAGTGCCCTCAGAGGCTAGAAGAGAGCATCTGATCCTTTAGGGGTGGAGTTACAAGCAGGTGTGAGCTTCGAACATGGGTGCTAGGAACCGAACTTGGGAAGAACAGCAAGTGCTTTTAACAGAAGAGATATATCTTCATCTCCTGTAATAATTTTTTAAGTTAGGTGGCTGCTGGTGTGATGGGTTATATTAGGATATGAAAAGGCACTGGTACATTAAGTGAAGGAGGGATGCAGAACTGCATGTCAGACATCTACACTGGCATCATCAACATAGAAGCACAGAAGCTGAAGCCAGGTGTGGTGACACATGCTTGTAGGGGGGCTGAGGCAAGAACACTGCTTGAGTTCTAAGCCTGCCCGGTCTACATAGTGAGTTCCAGGACAACCAGGGCTACATAGTAAATGCCTCAGAAACAACAAACAAGAAAGCAAAACAAAACAAAAACAAAAACTAGGTATAGTGGCACACTCCTGAAATACTAAAAACACTTAAAATCTCAGGCAGGAAGACCTGAAGTTCAGGCCAGCCTGGACTATATAGGAAAACATGTCTCAAAAGATAAAGAAAAAAAAAAAAAAAAAAAAAAAAAAAAAAAAAAAAAAAAGACTGGCTCTGTCAGTAAAGTGCTTCCTGTGTAAGCATAAGGACCTGAGTCCAACCCCCAGCATCCACAAAAAAGCCAGGCAATGGTGGTGTGCACCTGTAATCCCAGCACTGGGAAAGAGGAGACAGGAGGGTCCCTGGGGCTTGCTGGCCAGGCAGTCTAGCTGAATCAATGAGCTCCAGGTTCAGTGAGAGACCCTGTCTCAGAAAATAAGGTGTGGGGCTGGAGAGATGGCTCAGTGGTTAAGAGCACTGGCTGCTCTTGCAGAGGACCTGGGTTCAGTTCCCATCAACTGCATGGCAGCTAACAACTGTCCGTAACTGCAGTTTAGGGGATCCAATGTCCTCTTCCGGCCTCCATAGGCATTACATGAACATGGCGCACTTCCATACGTATAGGTAAAACACACACATACAATAAAAATAAATAACATTTATGATAAGGTAGAGAACTATTAGACACCCGGTATTTATCTCTGGCCTCCATACATGCATGCAACTCACACATACAGCCCCCCCACACACACACAAAATTGCAAACATATCAAGTTAAATTAGTTAACTCCCTCCCCCTTTCTTTTATTCCCCCCCACACACACAAGGCAGGGTCTCATGCAGCCCAGGCTAGCCTAGAACTCCCTACTCCCTACCCTATGTAGTTTCAGATGATCTTGAACTTCTGATCCTTCTGCCTTTACCCTCTGAGTGCTGAGGAGTGTACCACCACATCTTGTTCTTCATTCTTCAACTTTCAAAATTTAATGTTTATATTCCTTTTAAAACTATTTTTTGGTGCGCACCTTTAATCCCAGCACTTGAGAGGCAGAGGCAGGCAGATCTCTGTGAATTTGAGGCCAGCCTGGTCTACATACGAGTTCCAGGCCAGCTGGGGCCACAGGGAGACCCTGTATCAAAAAGACAAAAAAAAAATTATTTTTTTTAATTATTTTTATTTTATGTGTATGAGTGTGTTGCCTGCATGTATGTGAGTGCACCACTGTCATGCAGTGCCACAGAGGTCAGAAGAGGGCTTCGGATTCCCCCAGAACCGGAGTTAAGGACCGTTTGTAGCCACCATGTGGGTGCTGGGAATGGAACCCGGGTCCTCTGCAAGAGCAGTCAGTGCTCTTAATCACTGAGCCATCTCTCCAGCCCCATTATTATTTCTATTTTATGTGTATGAGTATATTACCTGTATGTAAGTAAGTGCACCCATGTCATGAAATGCCCATGGAGGTCAGAAGAGGGCGTTGGATTCCCTCTGAAACTGGAGTTACAGATGGTTGTTAGCTGCAATGTGAGTGCTGGGAATTGAATTCTGCAAGAGCAGCCAGTGTTCTTAACTCACCAAAGCACTGTTCTGAGATGTACTGTAATAAGGCAAGTAGCCGTGGGCTTACATAGAAAGACTGGACCTGGGCAACACTACCCTGAAGGTACCCAGGAGATTATATACATGCTCTGGCTACCTGACCTCACCACCTCTTGCCAGGCTCAAGCCACTGAACACTTCCCAGCCCCTTCCTATGTCCTGAAGCCCTGTGGTCATCACTGTCAGGAGCAGACCTGATTCCTATGAATGGGGAGGCAGTCCCTCAGGGTGAGTGATGAAGAGTAAAGACGTGGAGATCATGGGCCATCTGCCCTCTAACTCTGGTCTCTTTCTCACCGAAACCAAGCACGCAAATGCAAGGGGTACATCCCTTCTGGGATGGCCAGTAAGGCTTCTCTGAAGCTCCCTCCCTGAATCAGCCCCACCCCACCCCCTCTGCCCCCCCCACATGTTGCAGGTGGAAGTTTGGAAGATGCAGGCCAATGTGGAGAATCAAATGCTGATCATCGCCTCTGACAACCAGAAGCACCAGGGGCAGGTGGTCTTTGTCTCGGTGAGATAGGCCACCAAGCCGGGTCCAGGTTGTCCCAATATCCTCCATCAAGCTCATGGGACCTCCCAGAAGCTAGAGGGGATGGTCGGGAATTGGAAAGGGACAGGACAGAGACAGGATGCCTGGATGGGCTATGGGCCCGGATAGTGAGGTACAGGAGTAGGGTTCAGGGATGTCGCCCTACACATCCACCCCAGAAGCTGATCCAGACAATGCGCGATGAAGTGAACACCTGCTTCTCGGAGATCATTCAAGAGGTCAAACAGCTGCAGATAAAGGTCTTGGATTTTGTGGAGAAAGAGGAGGCAGCTGCCCTAGGAAAGCTGGGTAGCTCTATCCAGCAAAGTCACAGCCGGCTCCTAAAGTTGGAGGGGGGCAGTATCTGGCTCCACAGCCTGCTCACCAACAGGAGTGATGAACAATTCCTGCAGGCAAGACCCCTCTCTGGACCAGGCCCTGTCCCGGCCTCCACATTCCCTCCACCCACCCACAGATAGATATATCCAGAGCAGGAACAAAATGATCAGGGTACAGGGATGCATCACCTTAGCCATCTCCTGACTCAGGGAGCCCCCAGGCCGACATCCAGAGTTCACACCAATAACCTGTTTCTTGCTGTGCTGCAGAGCTCAGTCTTCACCTTGCTTTCCTGCTTTTGATTCTCAGGAAAAGACGGAGTGTGTCCTGGGATTCTGAGCATATAATACAATCTTCCCCAGACCACAGCCAAAAGTGAGGTCAGGCCAGTCTATGTCCTTTTCCTACCCAGCCCTGGTGTGGTGTTACTGCAAGGTGGGGAGTGGGAGGTGAAGGGAGGGATTGGGGGGGGCAGGTACTAGGCGAGATGGCTGGCCCAGAAATTGGCAGCATCTTCCCCTACACACGGGGACTAAACCCTATGCCAGGGACCTCCTAACACAGAACTCCTTCCTTAAATTGCCATCACACCTCTGGGTAGATTTCAAGGATCCTTGCTTACCATGTCCCTCCCTGCACAGCAGGATAAACTTAGCAATGATTTTGACTGAGCAGTGATAGGCTCATCTGAAATCCACTGTTTTCTACAGCAGCCAGACTTTTACTCAAGTCCTAACCTAAGATGTCTAAACAACCAGCAAGAGATAGGTGTCCACATTTGAATATGGGCAACTTCTGCCTGCCCACGGTTTGGGGGCTGAGTGGGCTCCTGCTTGGGCAGAGGCAAATGATAATATTACCTGCTCTTCTCTACAAAGCAGGAGTTCCCCAGACTGAAGCACTTCCCAGCCTGCACCGAAGCCTTGATGGGTACCGACTGTGAGGAGACACAGAGCTTCCTCCAGCTGCCAGAAACCTTGGCACAGCTCCGCATCCAGCTAGTGGACATAGGTCTCAGCTTCATTAACCAGCTCCTCCTGAAGGGTCAGTTTCTGGGCTGTCTGGAGTCTTGCAGCTTGGGAGTGGCACCACCCTGGCTGAGCAGTGACTGTGGAGCCTTACCTGCCTGTGTGCATTTGCCCCAGGCCACACCGGCTCCAGGATGCCCAAGCCTCTCTCCAAAAAGTTGCTATACTATAAGAGGGTCCTCAGCAAAGCTCCTCCATCTCCCCCCAGGCATCAAGATGAACTCCTATGAGCTACTGCCTCCAGCTGTGGACAGGAAAACACTTCTCCAGTGTGAGTTCTCAAACCCAAGGTCAACCTGGGGGAGGGGGGAAGGAGAAGGACCCCTGGGTGTTTCTCCTGCATTCAGGCCTCCAGAGCATTGCCTGATGTCTCTTTCCTGACCTCTCACTGCAAAGTGTGGCCCTCAAAAGGACTTAACCTGGGCTCCAGGCCTTGTTAAGAAGGGGCAGAGACCCTGTCCCTTCCTACCTCAAAGTTGGCTCTTCTGTGGCTCTCTGAACCTTGTTTGAACATCTGCCCTCACTCGGGTGCTTGCCAACTGAATGGGCTCTGTCCAGTTCTTCTCAGATTCAAGCTCTCCATTTGAAGTCCCAGTAAGCCCTCTCCCTGGCCTGGCCCTGAGGCTAAATCCTAACAGTGTCTCAGATATTGAGGGTCAAGGTTATATCATCTTTGCCGCGAGTCACCTCAGCCAAGAGCCCTTCACAGTGTCTCAGTCCCACTCAGACTCATCCTGAACAAATAAAAAGAGATTGTTAGGGTCTGGTGGGAGGGGAGGGGGACTCCAAACTCCCCAGCGTCTCCAGCAAGGTGCAACATTTGTACAGGGACCCATCCATCCTTTCTGCAGACTATCTGGCTGCAGCCCTGCCAGAGTTAGATTTTAAGGGGTAGATAAAGCCAGGTGTGGTGACTCATGTCTGTAATCCAGCACTTGAGAGGCTGAGGCAGAATGACTGCCTCAAATTCAAGGTCAGCCTGGACTACATTGTGAGTTCCAGGGGAGAGCCTGAGCTCAAACATAGATGGTGGGGGGGTGCCACTTCTAGGAACTGGGGGCTGCAGCATCCTGAGATTTCTGTGCACGTGCCCTGCACCTTAGCCACCCCTCTGTGCTGGGAACCATGACCATGACTCCCTTGACCCCCACCACTCCCCCCGACCTCACCCCAGGTTACTGCAACCTGAACTTCGACCCCTCCACGGCCAGCGAGGAACTGTTCCTGTTCACGGAAACGCACTCTGTGCTGAACTTGGGCATCCTCCTGGAGCCCTCGGCCACCAACAGCCCTTTACCGGGCTTCAAGCAGTGGCCGCAGGTGCTCTGCTACCCGTGTTTGTCGGAGGGCTGCCACTACTGGGAAGCCGAGGTGTCCAACTCGTGGATGTGACTCGGCGTCACATACCGCCGCAGCGCTCCGCTGGGCAGCCGCCCCCGCCGCAACATCGTCTACCTCCTGGGCCGCAACCCCGACTCGTGGTGCCTGGAGTGGGACTCGCTCAAGTTCTCGGTGTGGCACAACAACATGCAGACAGTGCTGCAGGGCTCCTACCATCACACGCTGGGTGTGGCGCTCGACTTGGGCGCCGGCTGCCTTTCTACGGCGCGGCAGGCGGAATGAGCCTCCTCTACCCCGCGGTCATGGTCAGCAGCGGAGCCTCGCTCACCCTCAAGCAGTACTCCGAGGCATAGGCAGCGCCCGCTGGCTCAGGGATGCTGCCAATAAAGCTAGACTCTGCGGACTTTGCTGGACAGGAGCACGGGGGATGGGGGCTGGCCCCTGTGTGGTCCCCCTGAGCCTAGGATGCAACTGGGTGGCCCACTTGCTTCTAGGTCCTATGTCTGAACTCTACCGGTGGCACCTGCCTGGGAATTCCCAATAGGATGTCCTGAACCAGGCTGGAGTTCCCTTGGGGATGGCATACCCCGCCCCCCCACCTTCAGATGGGAACGACATTAAATGCTCAGCCCACCACCCATTCCCCACCCCAGCAGAGGTCCCTGGCATTGGTTCTCTCTGCCCAGGTTTGTCACCCAACACTGTCCCCAAAGGCTTGGGCCTAGTGGAATAGCCTCTGGCTCCTCTCTCTCCAGGTGACCATACTGTTGATGTGGAAGTGGACAGAGCAGGGGAGAGCTGGTCAGTCTGAGTTCCAGCTTAACTGAGGGTGGGGAATTTAAGGCTGAGGAGCCCCAGGTCTATCAGATACCAAGGCCAGTGGGCTGAAGACCTGGGTCCAGGACAAGCTGGATGGGGAAGCCACCATACTGGGTGGGATCTACATCACCCACCACCCTCTTTATGGTACATCAGAGTAGTTCCCTGCCCCAGTCATCAGCCCACCTCACTCAGGGACTGGCCTTTGTCATCTAACCTGCTCAGTGGAGTATGTGGAAGTCTGTACAGAGGTTGCACCCAGGCTGCTGCCAAGGGGCCCTCTCAGAGGGCAACTAGTGGGATCAAAGCCTTACCCAGTGAGAAACTGCCTCTGAATTTCCAGCCTCAACCAGCCACAGTTCCTGTGGGTCTAAAGCAAAGCCTCAGTAAAGTTAATGATCCATTCCAGAAAGGAACTGATACAAGTCACAGGAGCGAAAGCCCCTAAGGCATCTGGCAGCCAGGCCCACCAGGAGGGTGCTTCGGAATTCAACTCCTGCCCTGCCCGTTCCTGGAGAAATTGGTGACCCTGTTTTCTCCTTGAGGCACTCCTTTTAGGGTGGGCAAGGAAGGAAGGGAAGGAAGACGTGTGCTCTGAAGGTCTCCTTAGATGCAGTTCTTTGGGTGCCTCTGAGCAAGCTCTGGCTGTAAACCAGTGCTTACGTCCCTGGAAGTCTTCCCTCCGCCCCAGTGACTTGCTTCTCAGAGGCTGCTGTCCCCGTAGGGTAGGGTATAAGGCTATGAAAATCTTTCGCCATATTGAAAGAGCTTTTCTTTGATCCCCAAATGCCTAAATCTTGGCTTCTGACTCCCACCTTCATTCTTCCCGGGTCAAGAGGTGAGCCAGCAGAGCATCATGGGTCATACCTATTATCCCAGCATATCTGAGGCTGAGGCAGGAGGACTGCTCCAAGTTCCAGGCCAGCCTGAGCTATATAGTGAGACTCTGTCTCAAAGGGTTGCAAGGAGCTAGGCATGGTATTGTGTGTCTATAGTCCTAGCACTTGAGAGATGGAAGCAGGAGGATCAAGAATTCTGGGTTATCCTCAGCTACATAGTTTAAGTCCAGCCTGGACCACACAAGACCCTGCAAATGGAAGGGAGGGAGGGAGGGAGGGAGGGAGGGAGGGAAAGAAAAAGAAGGAAACAGAAACAGGAAGGAAGGAAGGAAGGAAGGAAGGAAGGAAGGAAGGAAGGAAGGAAGGAAGGAAGGAAGGAAGGTAGGTAGGTAGGTAGGTAGATCAAGAAGAGCCAGAGCCAGAGCACTGAGTGTTCTTTATGGCAGTGCTGAGGTGAGGAACCACACAGGAGGTGAACACACAGCCTAAGTAGACAGCAGAATGACGTGACCAAAGTCCTTAGGTCTAGGGAACTGACAAGGGAGGCTACTTTGTCACCTCCCCAGCTCCTAAGAATATGTAGCTATAGGGTGGTGTGTGCTAAGTCATGGTTTCGCGGAGCACACATCCAACGGTGCAGGGATGTTTCTTGCTTTCTAAATAACTTTCTTATTTGGGGTCCACATCCCCTAGGAGTCCACATGGTAGCACTGGGGAGTCCTCAAACCAGCAAACCAAAATGTCAGGGTCCTTTGGTCATGACTCAGCACACAGCCTCCCAGGTGAAAGTATCAGAGAGGGGTAGAAGTAATATTGGAGATGGAAAAACTAATTATACTCATTTGATCAGTACACATTATATGTGGACTGGGCTGGGGGTATAGCTCAGTGGTAGAGTGATTGCCCAGCATGCCAGAGGTCCTGGATGCAATCTCCAGAAGAGCAAAAATAAATCACTATACATAAACTGAATTATTGGAGAGATGGCTCAGTGGTTAAGAGCACTGGCTGCTCTTGCAGAGGACCTGGGTTCGATTTCCAGCACCCATGAGGCAGCTAACAACCAACCATCCATAACTTTAGTTCCAGGGGATCCAACGCCCTCTTCTGATCCCCTCAAGCATTACACAATATGGGTGCACTTAAACATGTAGGCAATACACTCATACACATAAAATAAAAATAAAATCTATTAAAAATACTATACTCCGTAGATAAGTTCAAATATATTGTCAACTTTCAGGGGTGACAAGTTCAGCTAGTGAACCCTACTTCTCCCATCCCATTCCTCAAGGTGGAGCTAGGGTGAAAACGCTCTCTGGAATGCCACCTGTTATAGGACAGAGTTCGTAAAAAAATCACCAACATCTCTTTAAGAAAAGTAGCAAGGTAAATTTTAATTTTCGACCAGCCGGGCTGTCTATCTCGGGAGTAGAAGCAGCCCTGATGATTGTCAGGTCAGAGTTTTTATAGGATTACAGAATTATTATTAAAACAGGACATTTGTGAACCAATCAGGTTTGTACAACATAGCAGAATTTTGACTCTATTAATCAACAACCAATCATTATACAGACAAGTGATACAGTCATATAACTTGGCAATCAACTTTGTGACCTTAAAACTGGCCAACTGTTTTAGACTGGTTAGTAAAAATGTATAATGTCTGGAATTATCACATTCCATGGTTCATGGCAAGGGCAAATTTCCAAGGCCCAAGGTTGCCCCCCTTTTCCTTTTGGTGTGGAGCAAAGTTGCTGCTGAAATGGCTCTGAACAAAATGGAGTAACTCAGGGAAGTTTGCTGAGCCAGTTCACCACCCACAACTTCAAGTTCTCCTGTTCCCGAGTTAGGACTTAGTGATACTGTTTCTTTGCTGGAGACGTCATACAGAAGTCAAGGCTTACTCATGCTCAGCACACACTCTACCACTGAGCTGTACTCGTCAGTGAATATATTTCTAACCTAAATCTTTGGTTTGATTTGGGGGTTTGTGTGTTTTGTTTCATTGTGTTTTGAGACAGGGTCTCATTTAATAGTAAATAGCCCAGAGCAGCTTTGGACTCAACTGTAATTGAAACTAGCCTTGAACTTTTGATCCTCCTGCTTCCGCCTGCCTAGTGCTAAGATTACAGGAATGCATCACCATGACCAGCCTTCTCTATCATGAATCTGAAATGAATGTCTCCAGATTTTTGGTTTTTGTTTTGTTTGAGACAAGGTCTCACTATGTAGCCCTTGCTGGCCTGGAACTGGCTATATAGACCAGGCAGGCTTGGAACTCACAGAGATCCACCTGCCTCTGCCTCCTGAGTGCTAGGATTAAAGATGTGCACCACCACATCAAGCAGTTATTTTTAAAAGTTCTTCATTTTTTGACAGGTATAATAGTGCATGCCTTTAATCCCAGCACTTAGGAGGCAGAGGCTTGCATATCTCTGTGAGTCTGAGACCAGCCTGGTCTACATAGTGAGTTCCAAATCATCCAGGGCTACATAGTGAGGCCCATCTCAAAAAGCCAAAATCAAAACAAAAAACCAAAAATGTTCACATTCTATACCATTCCTTAAGATGGCATTCATGTATCACTTGGATAATAAAGCAACATCTTGCCATTTCTGATTGTAAAAGCAATTTTTCTTTCAATGAAAAATTGAAAAAAAAATTGCACTTTCTTGCAATAGTGCATACTTTGTGCCAGTCATATTCCTAGGAAATGGAACATGGAGGACATATTAACTCATTTCATCTTCATAGTAACCTTATGCATATGTATTCATCAGCCCCACAATGGGGAAACAGATGAACAGTTAGGAGGACCTCACAAGGTCATAAACATATACCACTGCTAAGCCCAGGGTCCCACCCAGGCAGTCTGCCTCTTTAAATACTGTGTGTCCCACTTCCCCCATTCATTACAGAAGACTTGCACAATGTGGAAATACAGTGATGGGGAGATATGGGAGGAGTTGGGCATGGATTTGATCAAAACACCTTATATGCATGTATGAAATTCTCAATAAATTTTTAAAAAGAGAAGAGGTTAGGGACACTGGATCTCCCTACTAATGTGTGTTTCCTCCAGACTGAATTATAGTCAGTTGATGAGCCAGGCTGGATTAGTGGGCTTGAGGACCAGGAAATGCATGCTAGCTCTCCATCCACGTGCCTGGAATTAGCCCAGAGGGTATTTACAGCCAGTATCTACTTCAGTGCAGTACCTGGGGAAGTGTTATTGATTGACACTTTGGTAAATACTGCTATCTATAATTTCACAGATCATTAATAAAAAATGCAACTACTTAAAAAAAATAAATAATTTGGGGCTGGAAAAAATCAAAGAAAACTACTACCCTGTTCTGGTGTCACATGTCTGTAATTCCAACAGTTGAGAGGTAGAAACAGGAGGTTGAGAAGTTCAAGCCTAGCCTCAGCTGCATAGTGAGTTCAAGGCCAGCCTAGGATACATGAAACTGGGTCTCAAAGTAAAACAAACAAAAACCTTGCATCAACAAAACTACACATAATGTACTCCTCCCTAAGATTCTTTCCTGGAGTATTTCCCTTTAGACTTATGTAGACAGAGTTGTGAATCAGCTACAACTGTAGAAAGCTGTAACAGTTACAACTCAAATCATAACATTTTCCTGGGATATTTTTTTGATGGGGGGGGATGAAATGGAGTCCTAATATGTAGCCCTGGCTAGCCTCAAACTTCCAGTAGTTTTCCCGCCTTAGCCACTGTGCTGGTGGGTGCCACTAGGCAGGTGTGTGCCACCAAGCCTAGCCCAAATTACATTCTAATAGAAAAACTGGCTTGTTCACCTGTAGGCAATATAACCTTCTATCCTACAAACATGCCCTATGGTTTTGTTTAATCTTTAGCTCATGTCTCTTATACTGACTTCACCCCTGGTACCAATGAAATTTTATTCACAAAACTAGGATATCAGAGCTGGAGAGATGGCTCAGCAATTAAGACCATTGACTGCTCTTACAGAGAACCCAGGTTCGATTCCCAGCACCCACATAGCCACATGGCGGCTAACAACCATCTGTAACTCCAGTTCCAGGGGATCTGACGCCCTCTTCTGACCTCCTCAGGCATTGCATGACATGTGTACACTTACACACATGCAGGCAATACACTAATACACATAAAGATAATAAATAAAAATATTTTTAAAAGCCAGCATGGTGGCTTAACCTTTGATCCCAGCACGCGCGAGGCAGAGGAAGGCAGATCTCTGTGAATTCAAGGCCGGCCTGGTCTACATAGTGAGTTCCAGGACAGCTGGGGCTACAGGGAGACCCTGTCTCAAAAAGACCAAAAAAAAATTTTTTTTAATTAAAAAAAAGCTAGGTTATCAGTCATTCCATGGGCCATAATTTATTGGGGTTGGGGGGGT